GTTTTTTTTTTTTTCTTCAATCTTTTAATTATCTTTCATTTTACTTGGAATGCTAGATCAACAGAAGGTTGAATGACTGTATGTATGTACGTTTGCTTGCTTGAGCAACGAGTCGCTTCGCTCTGCAGTTATAAAAGTGAATTATGAATTTTACTAATTCCGAAAACCTCAAACAGAACAAAACTCATAATCAGCGGCATGGCAAAATAACGGCAGAGCAAATCAACGCTATCTCGTTTGGATGACTTTGTTATGTGCGCAAAAAAATTTAACGCATAAGTATATCATCGGTGATTTCGATTATTAATTCTCATTGCGTGTAAATAGCCTGACAAATGATCATGCGTGCACGCGTTTATCATCACTTTATCAGTATATTAACGAAAATTGCAGTTTATCGCTACATTGACGTAATAATTATAACGTAACTGAATAACATATATATTTATATATTTATATGCGTATGTATACATAAATATTCTGTAAAATATAATATGGCGACTGTTGGGTGCGCAACGAGTCTTACAGGTGCAAGCTTTCGCCAGGATTCAATCGTACGTACTTACAGTACACGCTATTAGTACTATTGCATACTCTACAATCATCATCATCATTATCATCTTACAAAGCATTGCGTTTTCCTTCATGTAATAAAGTGTAGAATAGCTCAGAGCACATATAAATGTGTATGCAAGTACAACCGATCCTGGAATAGCCCGACACGTAAGAGGCTCGCATAATACAAATGTCCAGACATTATCGATAAAATACGAAGAGTAAGTACAACACTATCGTAGTTAAAAATTAATTAAAAAAAAAAAAAAAATTCCATTCTAGCCAAGTCTCGAGGGCACCACAAAAACCATGCAAGACAAACATCAGTTTAAGTTAATTCTTTTTTTTTTTCCAAGCATCCTGGTTATCTTAAGAGTTTTCTGGCAGTGTTGAGCAAAAGACAGTTTGGACAGTATACGATTTCAAGCAGCTAAATGGCAGGAAAGAGTTCGTTTTATAGACCGTTAAACTGATTCGGAGAGTAAAAACTGATGTTTATATTTGCAAGTCAGAACTCAGTAATTCATACATGACAACAGCGACGCTTCCAAGATTCGTGGATTTCCGAGGTGTTCGCGACTGCACGCGATTCCTCCTCTGTAATGTCCGCTCAATTATATTTGTTAAAAATTATCATTTTATTATTAATAGCACACTTGTTTCGACAAAACGACGGCATGTTTATTTACAAAAATTTATCTCCGCTGTGCAATGCGCTTTATTATATTTTTATTTTATTTTATTCACT